TTTGGAATCATTTTCGCGAAACCGTTGGTGCAGCCGCCGCGCGAGGCTGGCAGGCGCGCCTACCCCCATCGTCGGCATCCCCGCTGCGCCCCTGCCCCCGGCACCGCCAGGAAGGGGACAAAAGTTGGAACGAATTTTGGAATTTTTGTCCTAAAATTGTGGAATATTATTTGTTTCGAATTGCGCTCTTTATCACGTACCGACGAGAATCTTCCTTGCATTTCGGCAGGCTCGGCAGCTGCAGATGTTTGTTGTGCCTCCAAAAACAAATGGCACGTCAATAAAACGGGCCTTTGATGACGGCACAGCCTCGCAGTGTGCCACGCAGCGCTTCCGAGCCGTTAGGCAAAGGGCTGCCCTTGGATGCCCTTGGATGCCCTTGGCCGCTGAATGAGAATCCTTTCCACTCTCAGTTTCGCCACCGGGACGGCGACGCGGCGACGCGGCGAGTGGCACTGTTAGATGAGGGTCTTTCTCTCCTCTTTTTACAGCTTGATTGCTATGCAACTCGATCTCAAGGCCGGCCTTACTCCCGAAATGGCGGGAAAGAGGGAAACCCCTTCGGACCCTTCGGTCCCGCATTCGCTCTTCGGAAAGGATTCCGCCCGCCGTCGTTTTCATTTTCGGGACGATCGAGGTTATCGTGGAGCTCGCCGCGTCAACAAGCAGTGGCGGACCCAGGGGGAGGGAGGCAGGAATGGGAATGACAGTCAAAAAGCAGGGAAATCGGCGGGACGTTAATTTCCGCCTGTTTACCCACCAAGCTCCTTTCCGGCCGTTGGCGGCCCCAGCGGCTCCAGCGCCTCCAGGAAGGACTGGAGCCTCGTTGAGTAATTGGGGAGAGAAAGGGGCAAGCAGCGCGACCCGAATCCAAGCGCCTCTAATCTGACTGCGCTCTGCGATGCCGGAGGACCGCCTCTCCGTCTCTCTCGCCTGGGATGCGGAGATCCCGGCCATAGGATACCACTTTGAAGTGAGATTAGCCGACTTGGTTTTGGGCGCGGCTCGAGCTGTACTATCGTCGCGAAGCTGGGCGAAACGGTGACCAATTCCACTATTTACACAAAAATAGTTTTTGTTCGTCGGGTCGGCAACCAGCTCGCCGCTGCCACAGTGGGCCAGAAGCCGGTGGAGGCGGCCAAAACTCTACACGCGTTTTGAGCTCCAGAGTCGCTAAATGGGACTCGAACCGAACGTGTGAACCCACCAATGGACTGCTCTCCGAACGAGGAATCCATTGGTGGGGTCACACGTTCGGTTCGAGTCCCATTTAGCGACTCTGGAGCTCAAAACGCGTCTAGAGTTTTGGCCGCCTCCACCGGCTTCTGGCCCACTGTGCGCTGGCCGCCCTTCCGACGAAAGCGTGTTGCAATCGAGATGACAGGCAAACCCTCCCCGACCTGACGAATCCTTTAGCTGCGTAAGTCGACCGCAGAATGGCGTGCGGCAGAACAAGTGCTTTTTCGTCGCTTCGTCTCTCTCGCAGCCAGACGGCGCGCGCCGCGAGTGCGAGAGAGACGAAGGCGCTGTTCGGAAACCGGTTGAGTCCGGGCGGCGCCACGGCGTGGCCTGCCACTACTCGGCCGTGACCGTCGTCTCCTCCACCGGGAGCACGCCCAGGGAAACACGACCGCAACACCTGCCCGAACTGGAGCACGCCGCCACGCGGCAGAGGGTGTAGTGGTGGCCGTCGGCCAGGTGAGGTTCGCCCGGGCTGTAAATCAAAACACGCCCGGCTTTTCTTTCCTCCTCTTTCTGCGGCGACAAGTGCATCAGCCCGGCTGGCCAGCCAGATCGCCATCGCCTCGCCAGCCTCGCCTGCCTCGCCTCACCGCAGACCTGTCAATCAGGCCCTCTGACGTGTGCACTGTCCGCGTGAATAAGGGATGGGCGCCAAGCCGCGCCTGTGTGAGTGAGAGAGTGAGTGTGTGAGTGAGAGAGAGAGAGAGAGAGAGAGAGGTGTGTGTGTGTGTGTGTGTGTGTGTGTGTGTGTGTGTGTGTGTGTGCGTGCGGGGGCGTTCCGTGTACACGTGGGTGGCCGCGTGCGCCGCCGTTCCCGTTGGACTCCATGACCCCTCCGCGCACGCCGCGCACGCCGTGCCATGAGCGGCTTGGCGGCCACGGCTGTTGGCGTGAGCCTACACTCTTAGGCCGGTCGCGCGCCGATGCCGATAGTACCTACACCGTAACGCAGTGACAATAACGCATACCAGTATGTCGGGCCCTACAGTGGCCCACCCAGCCGGACGCCCGCGATGCACTGGAGAGGTTAGAAGGCACCCCGCCCACCCTCGTCCGCTACACTGCCGCTTGGCTCAAGCCACAGGTGCAGTGTTCGATGACGCAGTGATAGCGTTTGGCGCGACGAGGACGCTCTTTCTGTGTGCCAAAACAAAAGGGCAAAAGGGGGCGCTGCTTCCTTTCTTTTTGCCGGGCGAATAATTAGCAGCGTCTTCCACACACACACACACACACACACACACACACACACACACACACACACACACACACACACTAACCAACACACTCACTAACCAACACACACACGCACGCACACAAACGCGCGCCAGGCGCCTGGCGCCAGTGGCGGCCGCCCTGGAGCGCCTCGGCGCGGGCGACCGTGGGTGCGGGGGTTGCCGGGGGGGGGGGACCTTTCTTTGAGGTTTTGGCGGACCCCTGGTGATTTTCGCAGGGTGTGTGACGACGGACTTTCCCCCCGTGGCAGCAGTGGCGTGGCAAGCGCCCGCCCGGCCAGGCAAACGGGTCATTGGAGTGAAATAAGGAAGTTGGCGGATCGGGCTGCGGCATCATGGATGCGGGTGGTCGTCTGGCCGCGTCTGGCCGCCCCACAGTGGGCCAGAAGACCGCTGGAGGCGGCCAAAACTCTAGACGCGTTTTGAGCTCCAGAGTCGCTAAATGGGACTCGAACCAAACGTGTGACCCCACCAATGGATTTCTCGTTCGGAGAGCAATCCATTGGTGGGGTCACACGTCCGGTTCGAGTCCCATTTAGCGACCCTAGAGCCCAAAACGCGTCTAGAGTTTTGACCGCCTCCACCGGTCTTCTGGCCCACTGTGCTGACTGTTGTCTGGCGTCGCCGCCGACGTCGGTCACAACATGGCGTTCGGCGTGCAACAAACTTGCTTCTTTACTTCTTTAGGGGCCGTGCATTAATCAGCGAGAGGCCATCCAGTTTCGCGTGTCTCTGTCGCACTGGTGGGGCGCTTCGAGAGGATGTGTCTGTGCGAGCGAGAGGGCGCGAGATGGCGAGTCTGAAAGTGTAAAACGCGTTGGCGCCGCCGGGAGGCGATAATTGAACCAATCCCACCGAGGCGAGCCGAACCGCCCTGACCCGACCAATCAGCGAAGCGTCCCGAAGGCGTGCCGAAGCCGCCGGGCCGCAGGGCGCCGAAGGGCCTCGGCGACCCGAGCGATGCCAAAGCGCCAAAGTAAAGTGTGCCTCCATAATGACGGCGTGCAATTTCCTCCTCCTTTCGTTGCGCAACGGAGACCGAAGGCACCGAAGGAACCCCAAAGGAGGCCCGGACCAATTTTGGACGATTCCGTGAAAAAAGTAGGGATATAACGACCGGAAGCGATGACTTCGGGGAGCTTATTTTTCGGCAGGGCCTTTCCTTGCCGACGGCTTGCTCGGCTCGTCCGGCCGGCGCGCTGCGCGATGCTAAGAGGATGGCAGGCACTCCCGTAAAACAGTAAAACTAGCCGCGCCGCCGCCCCGCCGCCTGCCGCGTCCTGCCGCCACAGGCCGGCCGGGGTGCGGGGGGTGCGCCACCCACCGCCACCCACCCCGCCGACTCGCGACGGGGACGTCCGGACCGTCAGGACGCCCAGCAGTAAAAGAGAGAGAGAGGGGAGCAGACAATGAGCGAGATGAATAGCAAAGGAGGGATGCAGCAGGTTGTGCCGTGCACTGCCAAGGCACTGCCAAGGCACTGCCGTGCCGTTCGCTTCCTGCCGGAGAAAGGCCTCTGGCAGCCCCTCGCCAACCGCCACAGCGCGCTGCACGGAGGGCGGGCGGCGGCGCGGCGGGGTGGGCCAGGCCAGCCAGGGCCAGCCGCCTGCCTCCTGCCTGCCCGCCTGCCTGCCTGCCCGCCTGGGAAGGCGCCAGGCTGGTGGATATCGCAAGGTGTGCCGATCGGAGAATGTTGCACCTAGGCCGCGCCGCCGCGTCGCCGCGCTGGTCGATCCTGGTCGATCCCCCTTCGGCCTGCTTCGAGTTTATTTATTTTCGGGGGCCCGACGCCCGTCTTTTGATTGGTTCGATAACTGGCGCGAAGGATTACCGAAGCAGCCCAGCCGGGGTCCGGCGGAACCCTTCCCAAGGAGAGTGCCCACCGGCCGCCACACTGTGTGGAGTGTGGTTGTACGGGGCGGGGAAAACGGCGCACTTTGGCAGTCAGAATTTAGTGCCGCCTGTGTTCCAAGCGTTCCACGGACGGGCTGATAGCGGAGGCGCTCGTCGCCATGGAGACGACGCCCGGGGCGGCGGGGCGGCGGGGGTCCGGGGCGGCGCCCGCCCCGTTCCGGCACTTTCTCTCTGTTCGCCACTTATGATAAGCGCATGCCGCTCTTGCCACTCATGGTGTCCATGATCGTCGCCGTATCGGAGGCAAAGCGCGGCGCGGCGGGAAGGGGAGGTTCGGCGTCGTGCCCGTCGTGCCCCTCCACCGGCAGGGCGGCAGAGCGCTTGCGCTACGCTCCTCCCCTTGGGCCCCGCGCCCACACTGTGCGCAGCGCGCAGCCCCGCCGACCCCGCGCACCCCCACCACGCCGCCAACACCCCACGCGGGGTCATACGCGCCCCACGGGTAGCCACGGAGTGCGAAGCGCCAGGGCCGGCGACGCGCTGATGCACTATGCAAATCCTTGGCCAGGACACTCTCGGGGTGGATGGCAGCCCCGTGGAGGTCGCCGTCGTGGAGTGAGCGGCGGATGTCCCGGACTGCAGCACGTGATTTGCAGGTGATTTGCATGCAAGATGGCGCGGCGACGACAGGTGCGCGACGAAGCGCAGCGCCTCCCCGGCGCCATGCCGCGGTGGCGGGGCGTGCCGTGGCGGGGCGGGCGGGGCGGGGCGGGGCGGGGCGGGGCGGCCGCGCCTGGATTGGCCTGCCGCCTCTAATGACATGCAAGGGAAGGCCGTGGGCGTGGTGGGGCCGCGGCGCGACCCGCGAGCGACTTAGGCCCGCGGAGCGAGCGGCCGCGCGCCGAGGCCTCGGATTGGTGGCCGCGGCCCCCGCGGCCCCTCCTCCGCCCCCACCGAGGCGCCGCGGCCGCCCCACCACCGCCCTCCCCTCCGGCCGCGCTCGCCCGCCCAGCCCCGCGTCCCCGCGTCCCTGCCCCGCACCGAGTTGGCGGTCTCCGTCTCCGTCACCCGCGCGCAGCCATGGCACAGCCAGCGCAGCCGCAGATAGGACCCTCTCAGCCCCTCTCTCCCTCTCTCCCTCTCTCCCTCTCTCCCTCTCTCCCTCTCTCTCGCTCCGTATCGGAATATGCATTAGCCGGCGCAGCCAGGGCAGCGCGGCGCGGACTCCGGGCCGGGAGGGTCTCCACGGCGTGGCTGGCGGCTGGCTACGGCTGGCGTGGCGCGGCGCAGGGAATTCATCATCGGACGGTCTTGCGGACCGAAGGCCCGAGCCCAGCCCGGCGCGAGGCTAGCAGGGCCGGGAGGCGTAGGGAGGCGGGGAGGCGGTGTGGTGGGGGCGCTGGAGTGGGGGGCGGCGAGCGCCCGGCCGCGCTGGCGCGAGGCGCGCGAGGCGGCCGGTGGTTTGGTTTAGCAGCCTAGCAGACTGCTGTGGAGCAGCGTTGAGTGTGGAGCGTATCGCGCGCATCCGTCCATGTGCCTTACGTTACGACTGGACAAGACGAGTGCAGCGGAGTGCAGCGCAGTGCATCACAGTGCCGTGCCCTTGGATACCCACCCAGTGACAGTGCAACAGTGCAGTGCGTGTGTGTGTGCAGTGTGACGGTGTCGCGCGGTGACGTCCAAGCTGGATGTGATAGTCGCGCGCGCCCCCGGCCCTCTCCAGGAGCCGCTAGTGCCGCTTGTGGCCCAGGTACCCGTCAGACCGACGGGCGACTCCAGGACACTGGCGGAGGTCAAGGGAGACGCGATCCGGCAGTGGGTGGAGCAGGCCGCCGCGCTGGCCCTGGCCCGCTCCCCCAAGTCCATCAACAACAACAACAATCACATCGCCAACAACAATGAACTTTTGAAAGCCGGCGCGCTGGGTTCGCTGGCCGGGCCGCTGCCCAAGCGGCAGTGGTCGCCGACGCTGCCGGCGCCGGGCGTCGTCCCGCACCTGCCGTCCGGGCCCTGGTCCCGGGCGTCCGTGTCGCCCCCCGCCACCGTGGTGCCGGCGCCCGAGACGCCCCTGCCGCCCCGCGACGCCATGATGGTGGCCGCGCCGAGGTGCCTGGACGAGCAACCCCTGGACTTTTCCGTGCCCGAGCACGTCAAGAAGAATGGCCTCAAGCACGTCATCACCAACAACAACAACCACAGCCCCACGACCAGCCCGTCGTACCTGCGGCCGGGCTCGTCGTCGGCCAGCACCTCGGAGGACGAGGGTGTCGGCAACAACACCGAGTCCTCGGCCGTCGAGTCGTCGCCCATGGCACCGCGAGCCGACGGTGAGTGCACACTGCCAAACAAGAGGACTGACCCCAGGGAAGGCCCAGTGGCGTCGCGTGTCGGCGGCATGACGTGCGATTGGAAGCTAGAGGCTTGTCGCGGCCCCATCCCCTGTCTTCCTTCTACCCGCCGCGCCAAGCCGCGCCAACGCCGACGTGTCCGCCACTGCATGTAAAGTAGCGCCGCCCGCGCCACTGTAAAGCGATGATGGGCGTCGACAAGTCCCCTTGGCGCGCGGCGCCGCGGGGAAGTGGATCTGGCGCTTGAGGCATGTGAAAGCCACAACAGGTGTCGGAATATGATAAGAACAGGGAGGGCGACTTGGCAGGGCGCGGACGCGGAGGGGTTGCTTTCTCTCTCTCTCTTTCTCTACCCTCGGCAGCCCCTCCTTGGAGGGTAATCGCGTTGGCCACGAATAAAAATATGACACAAGGAGCAACCCTCGCCGACACCACCCGGAGGGCCTGCTCGCGCGCTCGCGCCCGGATGGTCCCGGACGCGGAGGAGGGTCTGGCGGAAGGGTGCATCCGCTTCCCCGTCATTTGTTTCCCATTTCTCGGCCTTGTTGGCGGGGGCGGTCGTTTTCCGCCAAACGGGCGCAACCCAGAATATTATCTCTACGTAGCGTCTATCGGATGCACCGGTGTCGCGCCCCGAAGGCCCCGAAGGGACTCCTGGACACCCCGTGTCACTTTCATCCTCCATCGGGCTTCTGCAAGGGGTTCCCCAGTCCGGCCTACGCGGAAGGCGGACGGACATCGGGCTGCCCCGCCGCAGCGCAGTGCAGCGCAGTGCGCACCTGCCTACCATTTGCAAGTGTGCCCACTTCCCGGAAATACTGCGTTCGGCCAGGCGGTTCTCGCGACGCGGGAATTTGGGTAAAACGCGCGGCGTGGGAGTCGGTTGGAATGCCGGGCCGTGCGCGCCTCATCGCCGTCCTCGCGGCCCCGGCGACACTGGCGGCACTGGTGGCCTTTCGCCACTAATTACTACCAGCCTGGTCGGCGTGCATGGCGACGTGCATGGCGGCCTGCATGACGGCCTGCACGGTGGCGCCCGCGCCGTGCCCTGCCAGACGCCAGCCCGGCCGGCCCGCCCAGCCTTGCCAACGTGGCCGTTGACTCCTCCGCGATTCGCGCTGGAAATTCCCATTTGTAGGTTGGCAGGCCAGGCAGGCCGAGCGGGCAGGCCGGGCGGCGTCTTGGCGGGCGTCCACGGCACGTCGCGGCCGGCGCTCTTTTCGCGACGTCGACGGTGTCGCGGTGTCGTCGACGGCGACCTGGCTCGGCTCGGCAGGCATGCCCCGCACGTCGCAGGTACTACACGGCCGTCTGCGGCAGTCAAGGGTTGTGCCGTGGCGCGTGCCGCCAGCGTGCCGCGCACCCTCGCGGCGGAGCTTCGCGGAGCTCGTCTGTTTCATTATCGGCGTGCCCGCGGCGGCGGGTAATCCGGGCCGCGGGTCTTGGCCTCGCCGCTGACGCGCTGGCTGGCCGCCTGTCTGGCCGCCTGGCTGGCTGCCTGGCTGGCTGCCTGGCTGGCCCACGGGCCGGCGGCCGGCTCGGGGCGCGGCTCATTTCGACTGCACTCCGGTTTATCTGGTCATTAGTCCGCGATGCGACGTACAGCACCAGAAATGAGTGGCCGTCCGCCGCCAGCCCCGCCGCACCTCGGCGATGACGCGGCGGCGATGGCGGCGTCCGCGTTACGTGACGCCCTAACCTAACCTGCCCTGGTGCTAAGCGGCCGGAATCTCTGGTTTCTTTACCCTTGTTTTCCGCCGGCCGAGGTATGTCGCCTATGTCGCTAGCGCAGCTCGCGAAGCTGTACCGAGTAGACCGAGGTTGTGCTGAGATTATCCGCCTTGGCCCGCGATTGTCTGGCCGCTAAGTGAGTTTGCGTGTCTGCCTGTCATGGTTGACATCCATCCCCCCTGGCTGCCTGCCGGCCTGCCGTCGGGGCGTTAGCGCGGCGCTCGGCGGCGTAAGGGGCAGCAGGGTGTGCGCTGCGAGCGTTCCCCGGGGCGCACTTGTCCCGCGTCTTTTCGGCGTGCCGCTTGTTCGCGCGCGCGGCCCTGCTCGGCCCTAGGCCCTACGGGTGCTGCGACGCGCCCCGCCGCCCCCGCCGCCGCGGTGCACTGCTTGGCGGCACCATATTGATGATAGGAGTGCGACAGTCCGGGCAGGCCGGGGACGCTCCCAGTGGCGTGCCGTGCTGCCCGCGTCGCCGCACAGTGGGCCAGAAGACCGGTGGAGCGACCTAAATTCTAGACGCGTTTTGAGCTCCAGAGTCGCTAAATGGGACACAAACCGACCGTGTGACCCCACCAATGGATTCCTCGTTCGGAGAGCAATCCATTGGTGGGGTCACACGTTCAGTTCCAGTCCTAATTAGCGACTCTGGAGCTCAAAACGCGTCTAGAATTTTGGCCGCTCCACCGGTCTTCTGGCCCACTGTGCGCCGTGTCGCCGTGTCACTGCGGCCCGTCCCTCCTCTTCTTTCGGTTGGCAATTACTACACGGGAAATCTCTCAGGATATCGGCGGGGCGTCGGGCTGGCCGGCGTCTTCCCGGAAGGGTGGTGGGGGTGCGTGCGGGCTGGCCGGGCTGGCCCTGCGTTTGAGTCTCCGCGTCGCCACCCTGCGTGGCGATTTGATCGGAATGCATTTCGAGGGGGGGGGGGGGGGCACGGGGCCACGGTGGCACCGGGGGAGAAAACGACACGCCGACACCGCCGCGCGGCCGTGCGTTTGCTTCTAGTGTGCGACGCTTGGTGCCCCGTAAGTACTTCGTATTCCCAGTGCACCGTCCGTGGTGTGGGTCCGCGCGTCGCGGAGCCAAAACGGCCACGCCGGGCCGGGCCGCGCCTCGCCGCGAAATGGCCGCCGAGAGGCCGAGAGGCCCAGAGCGCACGTCCGCGCTTTGGCATGCAGAAAGAAGCGCTTTTTCGCTTTCCGTGGATTGTATTTTGATGCGCGGGCCGCCACCTGCCTGCCGCCGCCGCGCCGCCGCCGCACGACGATGGGGCCTGTGCCAAAACCCGGCTGCGTATGTGTGTGTGTGTGTGGGGGGGGAATTGTTTTACTTTGTCGCGAAGTGCGCCCTGGTATACGCCCTGCGCTGTCGCCGGGCTGCGAGGCTGCTGCTGACTTCTCCACACCCACAGCGTCCGCAGAGCGTCGGGGGGCCAGGCCCTAGGGCCAGACTGGGGCCAGGTCAGCCAGGTGGACAGGGCCCCCGGATGCCTTGACAATAGATTGCACGCAAAGGCAACATTGCATCGTCAGATCGTCAGGGAGTCGCCTTTTCTTCGCCTCCCACCACACCGATCATCAGTCAAAGCCACATGCAAAGCAGTCCCCTGAAAAAAAAAAAACAGCCTCACCTGCCTTCCGTAAGAAGCACAGAAATCCTACTCGCACCGTGAAATAAAAATTCTGGCACCATAAGACGTAAGCCTGCCCTGGAGCAGAGCGGCGCGCTGCGGGGTTGCCGAGGGATATGTTTTCCGTCGACGCGTTCTTTCTGGGCGTGTACGAATATGCATACGACGGCTACCTGGCGAATCGTGGCTCCCCCTCGTGAGGGTGGCTGGTTGGGCGCTCGCCGTTCGCACACATCGCTGGAGTGTGCATTCTTCGAGACGATCGCTCGCCGAGGTCAGCCTTTTTTTTTTGGTCGAATTCCCGTGTATTTCTAGCCGCGCGGTGCAATCTGGGACGATTTCGGTTTGATTGACAGCGAGTCTCTGGCCGCCGTGTCCGCACGCCTTGTTTTTGGCTTACATCGCCCCGGCCGGCGGTGCCACGGCCACACGGCCCCGCGGGGACGCATGGGATTGTCCGAGACGGGCGGGGCGGGGCACAGTGGGCCAGAAGACCGGTGGAGGCGGCCAAAACCCTAGACGCGTTTTGAGCTCCAGAGTCGCTAAGCAGGCCTGGAACCGAACGTGTGACCCCACCAATGGATTCCTCGTTCGGAGAGCAATCCATTGGTGGGGTCACGTTCGGTTCGAGTCCCATTTAGCGACTCTGGAGCTCAAAACGCGTCTAGAGTTTTGGCCGCCTCCACCGGTCTTCTGGCCCACTGTGCGGGGCGGGGCGGGGCGCATGCGCAGTGCAGCCGGAACTTGTCATTGGCACGGAGCGGAAGGGCGGATGCGTCGCTGCGATTCGAGGCATGCACTGCGCTGCGCGTGCGTCTGTGTGTGTGAGGCACTTTCACCCCGTAAGCCTGGCCGGCCACTCCGTACGTATGGCACTGCACTGGTAGTGCACTGCCTGGCGCGGCCTCGGCCGACGCCTCCCGCACGGCGTGCCGCACGGCGTGCCGCACGACTGGCTCACGATGTGTGTGACATCGCGATGACAGTGGTGCATGGGCTTAGCCGAGAGGCGAGCCCCAAGGCAACCAGCTTAACGCGTGCTCGCAACCTCCTTCTCTCTTACCTGGAACGAATATTGTCGAGTTTAGGTCATCCGCTTTCCGCGTATGGGGGCCCGTCCCGGGGCGGGGGGCCGCGGGGCGGGCCCTCGGGCAGGGCCTGGCCGGACCTGGCCTGGCTGGGCGTGGGTGGCACTGCACTGCAAGTGGCCGCCCAGTGCACACACCATTGACGGGCAGCGTCCAGTCTGACGGGGGTCTTGTCTTTCGCGGAAGGTCCGCGTCAAGCAGGCAACGCAGGCAACGCAGGCGAAGCAGGTGTGAAAAGGCAAACCGCTGGACGTGCTTCCAGAGAAATAACAACAGACAAGGTGTGTGTGTGTGTGATGCGTGTGGCGCTTGGCAGTGTAGTACGCGGTGCCCGGGGCTGGCGGGGCTGGCGGGGCTCGGAGAATCTGGTGGCTTCACGGTACATTTGAATACCCCGGAGCGCCTCCGAGTTCCCTCTAGGCTTCCCATTGGCCCTGCGGTCCTGCGGGTACTTTGGGGCTTTCGGGTGCCGCGGTACCGCCCGTCATCCTTCGCACACCTGTGAGTCATCTTCGCCTCATTAAAATGCCTATGCAGCGGCCGTGGCAGCGTGGCGGCATTGGACCGGCGTTCGACCCCATGCAGCCAGGGCAGCCAGGGCAGCCAGGGCAGCCAGGGCCCCACACTGCAGATCGCCCGTCGACTTGCCCGATTTCCGATCCCCGCACTTTCATCCCCCCCCCCCTTTCCGTTTCCTTCACGCACATTTCCTCCCGTCGCCCACCGAGATGTTTTTAATCTCTCTCGCTTCCCCCCGCCCTCCTCTCTCTCTCTCTTCCTCTCGGTGGGTGCTTCAATCCATCATCATTTATATGCACGAATTCCTGTGAATAATGCCTGTCTGAGACACGACGCAGCGGCGCAGCCTCCGAGGCAGCGAGGCGAGGCAGCGACGCCGATTCGGCCTGTATGCCTCTATTCAAGTTAGGCCCGGGCTAATGATGATGATACTGTTGTTGTTGCTGCCGGTGCTGTTGTTGTGGTCGGGAGACTGTCGGGAGACTGCCGGAGATGGAAGGATTCATTCCGAGGCGTTGGCGCTGCCGACGATACGCATATCGACGCGATTCAGAAGTCGGACGACGCCGTGCCTGTCTGTCTGTCTGTCTGTCTGTCTGTCTGTCTGTCTGTCTGTCTGTCTGTCTGTCTGTCTGTCTGTCTGTCTGTCTGTCTGTCTGTCTGTCAGTGTGCGCCCGTCTGTTCGCCCGTGGCGGAAATATCGGACCAGCAGCCATTCGTCCCGGAAAGCCCCTGAGTGGGAAATAATCTGCATGAATCGTGCATTTCGTTGGTACGCCGCCGTGCCTGGCTGTGCCTCCTTCAATTTGACAATTACGTTCATTACTTTATTTTTCCCCGCGTCCCGCTGCGTCCCGCGCCCTGCCGCCCGGGGCCTTGGAGTGGTAAATGCGCACGCTGACTGTCTTTTGTTTGTTGCAGAAGTCGACCCGGAGAGCCCGCTGTACAAACCCAACGGTGAGTACGAAGCGTGTGCGTGCGTGTGGGAAGGGACTCCACAGCACCTGACTGTCTCGACATTGGTGATTGAAATGGGAGTGTGACGCCGCGACGCCGCGGCTGGAGGCTGCTCGCTGTCTCTCTCGCACCCGAGCGGGACGCGCCACGAGTGCGAGAGAGACAGCGCGATGAAAGCGCTGCGAGATACGACCTTGTTTGCCGGCCGGGCGGCTGGGCACGTCCGCGCCGCGTCATTTCCCTGCGTCATTTGCCTACGGCCGGTAGCCTCGCGCAGGGCCGCAGGGCCGCAGGGCCTAGCCTCGAGGAAGGCAGTGGCCGCGCTGGCGCCGTGGCCTCGGCACAGTGGGCCAGAAGACCGGTGGAGGCGGCTAAAATTTTAGACGCGTTTTGAGCTCCAGAGTCGCTGGGACTCGAACCGAACATGTGACCCCACCAATTGATTGCTCTCCGGACGAGGAATCCATTGGTGGGGTCACACGTTCGGTTCGAGTCCCATTTAGCGACTCTGGAGCTCAAAACGCGTCTAGAGTTTTGGCCCGCTCCACCGGTCTTCTGGCCCACTGTGCTCGGATGCCGTCGGCACCGCGCCCTGTCCGCACTGAGAGACGGCCAGTGAGTCAGTGTTCCGCAAATCGCGGCCGAAAGGCCCAGAGTGCGTTTAGTTCGGTGGTTTTACCTGGCTGTCCACTCCGGGATGGCCTGCATGCACGAGCTGGACCGTACTCTACCTGTGCGGCTCCGCTGCTCTGCGGCGCCAGAGGTGTGACTGCACGGCCTGTCATTAGCATGGCCTCGTCATGGGCGTGGCCGCCTGTCTCTCTCGCACTCGTGGGCCGTCCCGCTCCGGTGCGAGAGAGAAGGGCGGGCGGCGCGGGGGCGGCCAAAGAGGCAGCCTGGGGCCCAGGTCTGGGGCCGCCGCCGCGATAATTTATTCGTGATGCCGCTCTAGCTGTCTCTGTCACACGCGTGGGGCGCCCCGCCCGCGCCGTGTGGGTGCGAGAGAGTCGGACTGCTGCTCCGTTTTCCCGGTCCGCCGGTCCGCACAGTGGGCCAGAAGACCGGTGGAGGCGGCCAAAACTCTAGACGCGTTTTGAGCTCCAGAGTCGCTAAATGGGACTCGAACCGAACGTGTGACCCCACCAATGGATTCCTCGTTCGGAGAGCAATCCATTGGTGGGGTCACACGTTCGGTTCGAGGCCTGTTTAGCGACTCTGGAGCTCAAAACGCGTCTAGTTTTGGCCGCCTCCACCGGTCTTCTGGCCCACTGTGGTCCGCCTTTGAACGGCCGCTCGGCCCTCGACTCGGCCGTAATCACCCACCCACCCCGCCTGTGCCGGCGGCCTGTGGCGCCGCTTCGATCTGGACCTCTGGACCGCGTTTCGGCGGATGCCTGGCGGACGCCTGGCGGATGCGGAAGGGGCAAGAAGAAGAGGGGAGAAAGGACGAACAGACGGGCAGACGGACGGACAGAGAGAGAAATTGGAGGGAACGAGTACGACCTTGACGCCCTACCTCGTGATTACTGTTCATGGCGGTGGGGAAACGAGAAGAAGGAGAAAATATTAAAAAGACGCCGGGCGAGAAGAAGAAGAGCCATGTCGGTGCCACCGCGCACCGCGGCCTCTCTCTCTCTCTCTCTCTCTCTCTCTCTCTCTCTCTCTCTCTCTCTCTCTCTCTCTCTCTCTCTCTCTCTCTCTCTTTCTCGACGCGCTGTCCACGCGGAACGGCTCGTGGTCTAATTGTCGGTCTTATCTGTTGGCCCTGCTGGGATTTCCTATCCTGCTTCTACAGTGTGGTGGTGGCGCCGTGCTGTCGCCGGCCCCGCCGGGGGCGGGGCTTGGCGGGGCTTGGCGGGGCTTGGCCGAAAACTGCAAGTCTGCTTCCTTTATCTGGGGGATAGGAATGTGTGTGTGCGAGCGAGGGGATGGAGCGCACACTCATGTCGCCCTTTGTTTATGTGAAAGTCCTAATAATAGGAACAGGTTGTGCGGGGTAATGGTTTTTGGCGGGCCACTTCCTGCATGCACTCAACCCCGCTCCCTCCGGGCCCTGCCCCGCCCCGCCCCGCCTAGAAGACGGGCGTCAGGTTGTGCTCGGCGCGCAGTTTGTGGGTGGTTTTTGCCAACCCTCCGCCCCGCCAGGGCCCACCCCGCTCCACCCCGGGCCGGGCGGCCGAGCGGGCCGAACATAACAAGCATCTGCCTGGCACTTCTCGCGCAGCTGGGCGGGGCGGGGCGGGGCGGGGCGGGGCGGGGCGGGGCGGGGCGTAGCGCAGCTTATTGAGACCCTGCGAGGTGATTATTACAGGTAGGCAAAAGGCCCGTAAAAGGTTCCCCGAGCCGAAGCGCCGAAACCGAAAATCGTGCGCGGGGCGTCGGTTCGGGTTTGGACGACGACGACGACGACGGCGCGGCGGCAGGCGGGCAGGCCTTCGTGGCGACATCATGACGCCAAATAATTACGTAATTTGCTTTCCTTTTGGTTTCCGTGGCAACGCGGCACCGCCGTGCCGTGCCTCCAGGACCTCCTCCTCCTCCTCCTCATTTGCTCCACGTGTCCTTCGTCGCTTCGCCTACCTGTCGCCGAGGCGGCGCGGCAGCGCGGCAGCGCCAGGGACTCCAGGGACTCCAGGGACTCCAGGGACGCGGCGACGCGTTTCCTCAATTTGGTCCTTGATAGTTTTGGGGCCCAAGGCGGCGCAAGCATAGTATGGCCTTTAAAAAAGAATTTGTTTTGCAGTGTGGGGGTGGTCGTTAGAGAGGCATTGGCTCTGGACTGGCGTGCACGTCGTCATAATCGGGACGCGCTAATCACCCAATCGGAATCGAGACTATCGAATTACACAAGTCTAGCGCTTTTTTTTATTAGCATTCTGCACAACTGCTCTGGCACGTCTCGCGCGCGCACACACACACACACACGCACGCATATTCCGCTGTCACTTTGACATGGCTGATCTGCAGCTCACCTCCACCCCCTTGTCATATTCCTCAGGAAAATGTTTTTTACCCTCCTCCCCGCCGTTTTGTTTTATTATTTACGTATTTTCAGGGGCCCAGGTAGGCAGGGCGAGGCAGACCCGGCCCGGCCCGCTCGGTTTCTGCACAATTAAATGCGAGCCATTGTCGGACCGGCAAGATGGGCACTACAGAGGGGGTGTTATTTTTTTGGGCGCGCATTTGGTGGGGGTGGGGGGTTGGAGAACCCTTATGCATCCCAGGTACAGGGGGGATTTGGCCAAAAAGACCATCTGTTGAGTAATACAGTGGCCTACGTATCCCTCGGTCGCTCTGCCTGCGAGATCGCTTCTGCCGAAATTGATATTTCACTCGGATTTAAATGTCTTCCCCCCTCCCCCTCCTCTGCTCCGCGCACTTTCGAATCCCCGCCGCTGGCCGCAACCCGACTCGCGCGTTCTGTACGGTTCAATGTCTCTAAATGCGTCGCCATATTTGGACACTAATTCGGGTCGGAACGGACGCCGACCGTAAACACACACATGCGCTCGCTCTCTCTCTCTCTCTCTCTCTCTCTCTCTCTCTCTCTCTCTCTCTCTCTCTCTCTCTCTCTCTCTCTCTCTCTCTCTTCCTCTCCGCAGAAAGAAAAGGCGGCGGCGTTGCTGTCCATACATTAATTTTACGCTCATGACGGTTCCGAATCATTTGCCTGCGTGCTCTGTGCCGCCTCTAATCTCGGGCCTGCCGCGCAGACCGGCCAGAAGGAGGGAAAAAAGTGCCATGATGATGTGGAGGGACGCAGTGCTCTGCATGGCGAGGGGACGAATCGAACGAATTTTTCGAATGAATGCATAAAAATTTCAGCCACTGAATAAATTTTGCAGTGAATGATGAGAACTTTTTATGGATGAATTTGAATGAACGGCTCGAATGATGGTTGGCTGAAGGAATGCCTTTGGTGGCCGACACGCGTCGTCACCTGGACGGCCAGCCCACGGCCAGCCTGGCCACGGCGGCCCCTCTGCCTGCCTCCCCTCTCCCGCAGCAGCGCGTAAAAAGAGGACCGAAAAGTGTTTAGGGTTTTGTCACCGTCGTCAATTCGTCGCGTGGCCGTGCATTTGGCTTTGGCTGCGCGCTTCCGGCCAGTCTGTCTCTCTCGCACTCGCGGGGCGTGCCCGAGGCGTGCCGCAGCCGCACGGGGGTGCGAGGGAGACAGAAAAGACCGCACAGTGGGCCAGAAGACCAGTGGAGGCGGCCAAAACTCTAGACGCGTTTTGAGCTCCAGAGTCGCTAAATGGGACTGGAACCGAACGTGTGACCCCACCAATGGATTCCTCGTTCGGAGAGCAATCCGTTGGTGGGGTCAACCGTTCGGTTCCAGTCCCATTTAGCGACTCTGGAGCTCAAAACGCGTCTAGAGTTTTGGCCGCCTCCACCGGTCTTCTGGCCCACTGTGGACCGCGTGCCGCCAACGGGTTGGGAAGACGACGACCGGCGGCCTCCCCTGTTTCGGCTCGCGTGGCTGTGCTGCGCGCGCTATGCACTGAGAGATTTGTTTCACATCAAGAACGAAAACTTTGGTCTGCGGGATCAAAATGTGTTTCATCCGTCCAACCTTAACACAGGTGCTAAAGTTTCGGTTCTACGCATCAAAAAATTTCGTTTCAGAGTTAAAAGTTTTGATTCCTAGAACCGAAACTTTAGTATACCTGTGTTAAGGTTGGACGGATGAAACACATTTTGATCCCGCAGACCGAAGTTTTCGTTCCTGATTTGAAACAAGATCTCTCAGTGTGTGGTGCTCTGCACCCCACCGGAGGATTTCTCATTTTCCGTCGCCAATAAACTCGGTGATAAATCCGCCGAGCGCTCCGCCCTCCAGGCCCCTCCAGGCCCTTCCGTGACGAACGCGATGGCGCGCTAATGACTGGGAGACAATACAGTAGCACTCTACATGCGTCGTGCACAGCCGCCTTTTTTGTGAGGTTAGGTTGTCGTCGAGCTGTTAGGCCGTGCCGCCCGAGTCCCGCCTCACCGCC